GTTAGAATTTACAAGAGCTACCAGTCGTTCCATTAGAATACGCCTTGTAGCCATGACGAGCGGGTGCTTGTGCATATGAATCAGTCTATGACGTGCTGTTAAGAGAAAATAGCTGAAGATCTCCATGCACCTAATTTTGTAAATTCTATAACTCGGCGAAATCAAGTCCAAACGACCTCGAAATTTTTTCATAACCCCAGTTTTGATCATAGAATCGAAAAATAGAAAAAAAACTATAGGTCAAAAAGTTTCACTTGACAGCTTTTCTTGCTGGGCTGGTAAAACGTCTCTTAATGATTAGAAATGTTCTATTCAGTGACATGTGTGGAATGTTCAATGATGATGATGTGCTGGTCCTCCACCTCTACTCATGCCACCAAAGGGACCTGCACCAAACCCTATCCCGCGTGTTCCAAAAGTTGTGGGTGATTGACCTGTTGGAGAATTTATCATATGATGATGATGATAGGGTGTTCCTGGTGCTCCGAATCCGAGTAAACCAGTGCCTCTTGCGTGACGTGGAGGCAAAAAATTTGACGGATTTCCTTCTTGTCTTCCTGTTGTTTGTCTCAAACGTCCACTCGATGAATGATTATTCAGTGTCGATGAACCATCCGCCTGTTCAGAAGGGGAGGCTCCTGTTGAACTTAGGTACGCCTTCCTGATACCTTCGGCAATAGTTGATAGAGCGGACTTGAAAAATGATTCCCAATTTCCATCTTCTTTCTTGATTGTGTCAGGATTTCGATCGCGAGCTTTAGCCCGCGCTTCCTCATTACGTTGTTGTTCTCGATGAGTAGCTGCCAAAGCATCGTATTGTGCGCGAACTTGTTCTTCACGTTTTTCTGCCTGAAGACGAGCGGCAAGAAGCTCATCCTGGTCCTATTATCAACAGTATGAAGAAAAACTAAGCTGATATTGTTTTGCACATATTCATCTTCCGTCAACGATCAATAGATGTACTATGATTTATAAAATTCGATTCCAAAATATCAAATCGCATAAAATAGAGTTGTTCTACTCTAAGACCGTTTTTAAGTTCATTTAATTTTTGAAATGCAAGTGAAGAACTGTTTAATTTTTTACCTGTTGAGATTGCTTTTTCGCTGCATCAAGCTGTTGACTCAGGCCTTCCTTTTCAAGTTGAGCTTCGGTAGCACGTTGCTGAAACTGTGTTTTCATAAAAGATTATACAATGAAAGTTTATACACAAGCTGCACACACTCCTACCTGATCGATTTGTCGTTGACGTCGTTCTTGTTCTTCCTTTTGTACTCGGAGCAGCTCTTCTTCCTGCTCTCTGTAAGCCTGTTCGGCTCTTTCTAACATTTCATTTGTATATACTCGTCCGTCATTTTCTTGAACCATGCGGTTCACTAGGGACATGAGCTCCCGCACTTTATTATCAAGTTGTTCCTTTGATTTCTCCGTCGTATCAATGGCCATACAGCGACCATTACACGCTTGAACGAGGCTAATAATCGAATCAGTCGATTGAGCTTGCCATTGATCGAGTGTGGCTGTTGAGTCATCTCGATGTATATTATCCTCACCAGTGAAAACAACGATGCAATAACGAACAATGTTACCACGAAAAATATCGTGAACAAGTTTCACTGTTTCTTCAGCCTCACGTGTGTATCGACCACCACCAGCTTTAATAACAATGATAAATGCATGCGGTCCGGGAGCACTACCCACTGCTTTACTTATTTCGTAGGCTACTGAAAATGAATCTTTGTCTGTATCAAACAATCCAGGTGTATCGATCACGACTAAATTTCGACCCTCAAATTCTCTTTTACCCATCTGACATTCTTGCGTTACCGAACCCATCGCGCAACTTGTTTTGAATACTTTCGCACCCAACAAGACATTGGCCAAGGCACTTTTGCCTAAATATAACATCATCAAAAGCTCTAGTATACATGAAAAATAATTGTTTTCGAAGTCTAATTTCTCGTATCACTAATATACTAAACAGATGCTACTTTTCTTGGCAAATCTTACAACTAAATGATTCGGCTCTGTTTTAGAGAAAAAAAATTGCTATTCGATCGTAACTATAAAAAACTATCTTGCCAAAATTTGCTAAATTACTAAGTATGTGTTAATCATTGTAGCGGGTTCATTCATTCTGCGCTGAAACACATCAGTAGAATTAAATTCATAAAAACCCATATAGGTTATAGCATTGGACGTTTAATGTGCTATTTAATTGACCAAGAAGTTTTCCTACCTTCGCCTGTTCTTCCGATGAGTACTAAACGCATTTCTCGATTTGCGCATCCGTCTAAAAGTCGATCGAATACGCGATGAGTATCAGATTGGCGCACCGATTGTGTCGCCGACCGACTACTTGCTTCAATACGTGTAGACATGTTAATCAATTAGCTTAAACATGAAGCGACAAAATCTTTTGCGTTTATATAAATCAGTATCGGTTACGCAATGTTGGATTATTCCGAATGTATTTGTCACCTTACCTTGCTAATATTGACATAAGGAAATGATAATGGGTATTTTTTCGTTTTTGTCAACTTGATCATTCTATTTTCTTCCAAGAAAAAAAAGAAAAAAATCGCACCAAATTTTTTGTGTGTGACGAAAATTCATACTTTGGTGACGACAGTTCTCGAGGACTACCTCCCCCCAAGGAAATTTCTTGATGCATGACCAAAGTACGTTCGTCATAATGACGAAAGTGTGATGTGACGAAAGTGCCATAATCCATATAAATATATTAGACAACCTGGCATTTTGTATAACGCTTTTTCAAATAATACCACCCTATATAGTAACATTTTTTCTGGTCGAGATTGATATTAATCATTGTATTAAGCATCAATGTCAAAGCGAGCATGTGTATAAAAAACTATGCAATGTATAACATGGAATAATCAAAGCGTTTTAACGAGTATCAGTCAGACAAGAAGAACCTAAAGTAAACTGCATTTTAGAATTGGCTTTGGAATGGTATAGTTCAGAACTAGGCAAGCCAAGTCAGAAATGCCCCAAGTTCAAGTCAAGTCGACTTTACGAGACTTGGTCCAAAACTTTTTGGGATGTGACTTGACTTGAGAAATTTTTTCAAGTCAAATGATTTCCAGTAAGAGATTTTCGTTTAAACTAGACTTTTTCTACCATGGAAGAGAGTTCCCGAGGCTATAAAAACTCTCTCACCCAAAAGGTGCTATCAAATTTTATGTTCTACCTAATTTTAACCAAACCTAACTTCACTTGGGCGAAAATATTTTCCGACCACCACTTGACACTTGAAATTTTTTTTAGTGATTTGACTTGACTTGTGACTTGCAAAACTCTTGACTTGCCCAGCTCTGGTATAGTTTTTATTTGTTCAGGAGGCATAGAATACTGATTTCACAATTGTTGATTTCCACTCATGTGTCACACGCAGGTCTGTCCTTCAAGATACATTTGCAACGACCCCTCTGATTAAGAGAACAATTGCCATCCTGGTCATCCGTAAATTCAAACATGGTCCGATATGAGTGACAACATATACTATTCAAGCAAAAACGCTATTTTTTCTCAGTAGAGCTGTCTCGAAATAATTTGTTTTTATGACGATCGCACAATGGTTTGAAAAACGACCTATTTAAGAGTGTTGACTAAATGGACATAATTTGTTTCATATCAAAGAAAAACTATTGGCCTATCACAGATCCTTCAGCAATGCCAGTGAACAATTCTTAAACAATTCCATTGACGAACTAATGTGTGAGATACACTTTTAAGCAGATTTATATATGATTGCAAAAAACTATCCTAGAAAGAATATATTTTGTTTAAATTGCACTACACCTATATTTGGTAATATTCATTATTGTGGACAATAACCGTGATAAACCATATTAACGATGACTTTAACAACTGTAATTTGACAAAAAGTTTGTTAACAAGTGTATTCTATTTTTTCTATATAGAAAACGAACAGATGCTGATACAACGGCTAGTAAGAAATATATTGCTGAAATGTATTGGTGAAGTTAATCAGCATCATACGACTCTTATTGCGGTCAAAACTATCAAAGTTCATTTAGCGCATTTCGACATGTGTGAAACATATTACTTTAATTTTATAGGTCTGTATCATATGTTTTTTATTCTACAATTTTTAATATAATCGATAAATGAGTTCATTTAGCGTGAATACGTGTATATTGTTAATGAGTGGTAACAAGATGATTTTTGTAAAACGTATAAACAATGACATTGATCGTGTCGTTGCATATCCTTAATTGGACATTCAGGAGTAGATTAGAGGAACTTCTCTTATTTTGTTAACGTAAATTCCAATACGTTAAGGTTACAACTATAGGAAAAACCGGATGTTCTTTTGGTACACATATGTTTCACTCAATCAATTTCAGTTTAAAAGTGAGTTATGTGTTTTTATCATTAACTTAAAAAGTAATTTTCATCCGTCAACCGCAGGAAGGGCTTGACAAAGTTAACTATCTTCTTATCGTAGACAATTTGGGAAGGGAAACCCACATTTCCATTTAAGTTAGTCTATTTTCTCACTGGTTAGCTCCTCCAAAAACTTCAGTTTCATCCCGTTTGTCTCTGGTCCAGACTAGGCATACAACAATCCCAAGCCAGAGCCCGCTGATCGGCAGCGAAAGATTCGTTACCGATCCGGCAAACTCATCGGTGCCGATAAGCGAGCCCTCGCTTGGGATTGCTACATGCCTACTCTGGGCCACCTTTTCTGTTGAGAGATTTTTTTCACGTCATTCACCATTTTGGACTGGCGCAAATCGAACCAATAAGTGTTACGAACAAGTTCTCCAGATACGTCTTTTACAGTCAAAACCATAGCATGACGATATCTCTTCGCTGTTGAAATTCCGAAAAAAATACTTATTTTTTTCTCAGTCAGCTAATGACCGTAAGCCGAAAAAACTTGCTCTCATGATAATTTCTAGAAATGATTGTTACCATTACTTTACTAGCTTTCATAGAAAATAAGAACGAGTAATTTTATGCGGACCGCTCAGTTCTCGTACATGTGTTATGTAACAAACGCAAGAGATAGAGAACAGCTGAACGAATAGAAGAAGTGAAACAAGTTAAAAGAAGAAGAAAAAAGATGTTTTTGTTCTGTTCGGATTTATTTTTTTCTCCATGATAAAAAATTCCCATACAATAGGAAGTCTAACCGCACAAGAGATGAAGACATTTTTTATGACTGTTATCGAATTCATATAGTTATCTATCGGCTTCGAGAACAAGTATGATAATGTCAATAGATCTTATCAAGCGACTTGTTTTCTGCAGACATGTCAAAATATATGCGTAAAAAATTCGCTGTGCATATCTCTTAGGATAGATGGACAACAATTGAGGCTAAACTTAAACGATCAACATCAACACGCTTGGTTAAGTAGTTTTTTGTTTTTATATTTTTAAATTTTTGCTTAAAAATCCTCGATTAAACGAAAAGAAAAGAGAAATGAGAAGAAAACAATTGTTCATTATTAAGTGTTCTGTTTGATTTTAAGTTCAATTGTATTGGTATTATTCTCTGCCAAATCAATTATATCTTCAATTTTTGTATCGTCATTAAAATAAATTTCTGTATCATCTGTATGATGAAATCCATAGTGCTGTTCTAAATTATTGTCTTGTTAAAATCGTTTTAATATTCTTTTAAATAAATTTTTAACTAATGTTGTTAACTTACATGATATATTGATTGTTTGAATTAAAGCAGTACTTTCATCATTTGAATAAAAATCTATTTTACATTTTAAATTTGTTTCATCATAATTAAGATCAATATTAAATTCATTTTTTTCAACCGCATCATCAGCTATATCTTCCAATGTAAGAACATCATCTCTCATATAGTCATTTAAATATAATTTCAATGAATTATTATCTTCATCGAATAATAAACATCCAATATCACATATACGTTTACATGTTAATTTGTTTGAACAATAAAATTTCATTGTATGATCATCCCCTTCTTTGTGTAGACAAACAGTTACATATTGATTATAATTGGTTGTATCAATTTTAAAATTGATTGTTGCTGTTTCATTATCTGATTTAATAAGTGAATAAAGACGTGTCGTATTCAACGGTATAAAATCATTTAAATAAATTAAATTTTGTTCGAATGGAATATTAAATAATTGTTTAACATTTTCCATCGTTGCTTAACGTGATAGTCGTTTTGTTATTGGATTACTATCAATAGAAACAGTGTAAATTTCTTTGTTATTCAAAAGATAATACTGTATTTTATTCAATTGATTGTATTTTAGATCCATTCGAATGATTTCCATTGTATCAATTGTGGCTAAATAATA